AGCCAATGTCAGATTATCAAACCCTTGAACTCGTCTTTGCTTCGGCTGCCGTGACTTTGACGGCACTGGGGATTATTTACTATCTACGCCGAAACGGATCACGACCTCGACCACGACCTTGACCTCCGTCCTCGCCACCGCCTCCCTCATCGCCCGTTCATGTCACATTACATTTTTCAATCCGTACGGTCGTCTATTTGACTCAGCAGGTTAGTGGTCACTTTGTTTGACATTCAGAATCCCATATATCTGCAAAAAAATAATATATAAGTGTGTGTAATTAGAGTAGCTGTGTAAATAAAAAATATCCATGCACATAGTCGTGTGTTAAGTAAAGAGAGTGGTACTGTGGGTAAAATTTAATAAGGAATGTGTGTGTAAAATACTACTATAACGGTGGTGTGTAAATAAAGAATGTGCCAATCACACACAACCAATATACCAATGGCGCCCATGGTGCGGGAAATCTATAGTTAAGTGGTTATTCCCAAGTGAAAGATTACTAATATAAAGTGTTAACAAATTATAATAAAGTTGGTGCTAAATTATAAGAAAGATGTGTGTATTAAAGGTGTGTAACGAGGGGAATATGGGGATATGAAATATAAGCTCCCCAGCAAACAACAATATCACTAACGAATGGAAAAAAAAAAACCTCGTTCGGAAGTTCACAAACCGAAAATCATTATCTTGTTCGGAAAGTTGAAATCCGCAAACAAAAAACTAATTCGGAAGTTGGGAGTGTTGTCCAAAAATTCCAAATGTTCGGAAGTTGACTATCCGACAACAAATGAAAACACCATTCATTCGGAAATCTATTGTGAATATTGAATTATTTTCGAGATTCTACATCTAACAAGATTGTTATATTTCGGAAAACCCAATTCCGAACGACGGTTTACAATTTTGAAAAACCTCTACATACAGTGAAAAACTCTACACTACAAATGAACATTGGGGTATCTCCGCATAGCCGTTGGGGCCTACTTTGGCAAGTGAAAAATTACAGATTGGTGTTGAAAAAAGTCACCCCAGCTGTGTGAAGCCAGGGAGCTATTGTACCGCTTTGGGGAAAGCAGTTTTGAGAGATGGCAATGCACGTGTAAAGGTTGTATTTTGCACCGTTTGGGGGAGAGCCAATGTTTGAGAGATTGCCAGCCTTCAAATGGGTGTAGCACCGTCAGGGAGAGTGGGGTTTTGAGTGATGTGTGGTGTGTTGTGTGTATGGTGTGTGTGTGTGTGAGCAGGGTAGATGTGGAAATCAAATGTGTGTGTAGTGGGTGAGTAAAAGAATTAGGAATGATTTTTCTGGTGTTGTGTAGGTGAGTAAG